AAAAAAAATGCCTGCATGCAATTTTTCCAAAAATTATTTTAAATTTTACAACCTAAATATTTAAATCATTTAATTTTATATAAATTTGTAGTAATGTTAACAGTACTAAAGAACCTATTAATATTGTTTTTATTGATCTTCCCGCAGACAAAGGTTCATCGTCAACCCATTCATCAAGTGTTAGTTGGTTGGTTACCAACAAGTTAAAGAGAGTGTATTCAGAGAACTTGAGGTTGTGAATCAATGGCACACTCTCTGAGTTTTGCTCCTTTTTCTTCCTTCAAAGCCTCGTGCAGACCAGGTAACTAGCTCACTCTCTCTGTGCGTTCTCACGCGTCTTTTGGAAGACTTCAATAACTGAATGTGGTTTTTCCTACTTTTGCTATCACTTTAAAAGCAGTTACTGGTAATTTGGTTGCCCCAAAGGCTTTTTGGATAAACGAAGCCTGCCACAATTCTAAAGTTCGGAACTTTCAATCTTTGAAGGTTAAGGTAAGGTTGATTTTTGTGTCCCATTTAAAATAACATGTTTCTTGGTATCCAGTTATTATGTCAAGACTCTATTGTGTTGAAAATTCATGTGTCGTGAGTTGAAATCTTCTCTAGTGCTGATTTAATGCAGGCTACGGATGATAATAAACAAACCAAAGCAAAGAGTATCGTTTGCCCAGACTGTGAAGGAAATGGTTAGTGAAAATGTCGATTGCTATTCGTAAGCACTTCGGTTTGGTGGTTTTTTTCTTATTCTTTCTTTCTGTAGGTGGGTTGAGTTTTTTTTTTTTGAACATTAATCCTTCTTTATGCACAATGATAAGAGAACACAAAGAACATCACAATATAGAAATAATATCTTTAAATCTAAGTAGTATCATTAAGATTTGAAATTGAAAATATGAATTTTCCCAAGGTGATTGATAACTCTAGGGCATGTCAAATGACAAATGTTAGTTTGGTACAAGAAGATGAAAATGGACTTTGTAAAAATATAGATTGCTCAGTGCTTTCTTGTCTTGTTGAGAAATTTTAGACCTTTTCCTTGAAAATTGTCGTGCCAGTAGTGAAAAAAAACATGTTTTAAAACTCTGTTAACTTGATCACTTACTAACTTGAGTATAGTTTGTACTGATATCACCTTAGGATATAGTGACAGAGTGATGTTTCATTCATTGAAAACTATGTGCATTTGTCTGTTAGTCATCCGTTAATTAGTATTAGTGTCTTATTCCCCGTTATATAAGTCAATAGGACGGGCTAGAGATGCATTCATGCACTTTGGCCCTCAGATGCCAATTAGTGTCTGTTTGGAATACCAATAATTCTTGAGGATGGACTATGGCCTGTTGCTTTTTCACATTATTTCAAAAGCTATCGTACATTGCAAGTTTTTCTCCTTCCATTAGAAATCTTGGCATTTAATTCACTGAGCTATCTTTCTACTCAACTGCAAGGTGCAATATCATGCACTCAATGCAAAGGTACTGGAGTTAATTCTGTTGATCACTTCAATGGACAATTTAAAGCTGGTGGATTATGTTGGCTATGCAGGTAAGGGCACTAGATCTTACATTTCAGGTTCTGTTCCTTAATATTAGTGTGAGCATGTGCGTATTCCATGTTATGTGTTGTATGGCAAATCAACTTCACAATATATTACTTTTTCCACACCATGCTTTCAATTAAAGAACAGATAGGGTTAATATTTGAGCCAAAACAGCTCAAGACTGAAATCTGTAATACTAAATGGAAGTAGGATTGTTGTTATCATGCTTCTGGTCAAGTCATCACTGCAAAGTTGTTTCTCCTTTTCAGTCAGCAATAACAATAATTTTCAAGGTAAGATGATCACTACCAACAGTTGAAACGAATAATGACTGGGTAGTAGCCAATTGTTTCCCAGAATTTGGTGTTAATGATACTAGATTCCAATAATCATAATTAGATTTTAGAAAGAGTTGTATAAAAGATGTCTAGTTGTTTCAATTACCCAAGCACATGATCATATCATAGCAATCAGAACTCACCTCAAATTCCAGGAAACAAGTGCATGTACATTAGAGCTAACAGGTACATTCTGCAACCATCTAACTTGTTATTGTCACTATTGTTTTCATCAAGTTTAAATTGGCCCTTAGTATTAGTGAACCAGCATAAAGAAACTCTTTTTAAGTTCAGGTATTGTGTGATTTCCAGATTGATCAGACTGCTCTACTATCAATACCATATCATCTTTTCGCCTAGCCCTTAGTTTGGACGAAACATCTTAAGGAAGAATTGGGACTCAAATTTTCGCTCTAATTTAAAACTCCATCTTCCATAGAGAACCATGTCAATACCACTATGTCCTTTGGTTGTGTAGTAAGTAGGGGATTATCAGGACAAAAATATCCTAATATTTTAATACTAATTAGGAAAAATATTCTTAGAATCTTCACATTCATTCCAATAGATTTTATTTCATTTTTTAAGAGAATGTGATTGTTACAAAGGTATTGTTTCACTTGCTAGATGCCATGGTGGTCATTGTCTGTAAGAACAATGTCATCAACATATACTATTAGATAAATACACCTAGCATTCGGGAGACGGTAAAATACTAAATAATCCGCCTTAATGCAAGTCTTACCAAATTGTTGGACAAAAGTGCTAAATTCTCCAAATTAGGCTCCAAGAGACTGCTTGCTCCATATAAATTTCTTTCAACAAATCCTCATTAAGAATAAACCCAAACTTATCATAACCTCGGTCAATATAACAAACCATGCTCTTAGGGATTGTTTCGGCCCATATCAAGTCTTTCTTAACTTGTAAACATTTCCAGCAGCAACATGTCCTTCATAGCCTAGGGGGAGTCCATGTATATATCTTCATCAAGGTCTAAATGTAGGAATGCATTCTTCGCATCGAACTACGGCAGATCCCAATCATGATTTTATCGTGACAATATTACTATGACTTTGTTCATCATAAATGTCTCCAAGTAAACCACACCATAGGTTTGAGTGAATCCTTAGGCCATTAATCTTGCCTTATAACTTTCAATGGTCCGATCAGTCCAATATTTCACTATATATACCCACTGGATTTTTCCAGCTGGTAGGGTGACAAGTTCTCAGGTCCTGTTCATGTTTAACACCTTTTAATTTCCACAATCATGGCTTGTTTCTATTTCCTACCATTTGCTTCA